ACAAGGAACAAAAATAAGTCACTATTTTGTAACTGTTTCTATGTACAGATAAGAGGTAAGTTCTGCGGTACTGAAAATATTAAGAAGAGGAGGAATTGCAGGGCAATTAACAATACTGGCGGAAAGAGACTTGGAGGCCATGATTCAGGAAAGGTTAACCAATGCCAGCAGATGGTGCTAGGAGCATACTTATTCCCAGTGCCTAAGCCATTGTTCCACAAAGATCCAGAGGAAAAGACGTCTTCAACCCCAAATTATTCACTAACTGAAAGCATGTTGTTTACTGAGCATTGACCATATGCTCCAGCACTAGGCAAGATATAAGACCTTTTATTTCAAAGTGAGGATAGGAGTAAGAATGAAGAATAATGGGCCTCAAGAATAATCTTTTTTTTTTTTTTAATGAGTTTATTTAGTTTAGAGAGAGAGAAAGTTTAGAGAAAGAGAGTGTGTGTGCAAGAGCAGAGGGAGGAGCAGAGGAAGAGGGACTAGAAGACTCTGCATTGAGGGCGGGGCCCCACACAGGGCTCGATCCCACAGCCCTGCCATCATGACCTGAGCTGAAATCAAGAGTCAGATGCTCAACCAAGTGTACCATCCAGGTGCCCCTCTTTTTTTTTAAATTATTTTTAAAAGATTTTGCTTATTTTTGAGAGAGAGAGAGTGTGGGGGAGGGAGTAGGGTGGGGGTAGAGAATCTCAAGCAGACTCCCCTGCTGAGCACAGAGCCCCACGCAGGCTTGATCTCACCATCCTGAGATTGTGACCTGAGCCAAAATCAAGAGTCAGATGCTTAACGGACTGAGCCACCCAGGTGCCCCAAAAATCTTATCCTTTTTAGCATGTTGTCATAGGCCTTTTTTCTTGACTGCTGTAGTTGTCCATTACAAGGGAATGATTAAATAAATTATGAAAGACTTTGCAATTATATGCAGTGAGGTAGGTTTTCATGTCCTGAAATCTTAGTGGTATTTTTTATTTTTTGGCCTGCTGATCTCCATGTCCATTTCCTAACAGTATCCTATTTCTCTTGTGGACTGGTCGCTCCTTCATCGAGTACTTTTTCAGAGTGGAGTGGGTTATCAACTCTAAATGTTTGTCCTCCCAGAATATAAGCTGAAGGGATCTCTGGAAGATCTTTCCAACTCCTCCAATCTGTCCAGTGGGAGGGGGCATAAGATGCTATAAACTTCTCTGGGTGGGTGGGGCACCTTGGTGGCTCAGTTAGTTTAAAGTCTGACTTGTCAGACTCCTGGTTTTGGCTCAGGTCATGCTCTCAGGGTCGTGAGATTGAGCCCCATGGCCGGCTCCACACTTATGAGGAAGCCTGCTGGAGATTCTCTCCCTCTCCCTGTGCTGCTCCTCCTGTTCAAGCTCGCTCTCCCTCCCTCTCTCTCTTAAATAAATAAATAAATAAATCTTGTTGGTTTTTAAATTTTAATATTTTATTATTTATTTGACAGAGAGAGATACAGCGAGAGAGGGAACACAAGCAGGGGCAGTGGGAGAGGGAGATGTGGTGCTCAGTCCCAGGACCCTGGGATCATGACTTGTGCTGAAGAAAGATGCTTACCAACTGAGCCACCCAGGTGCCCCAATAAATAAATCTTAAGAAACAAAAAACTTCTCCCCTCTGGGTTTTGAATCTTGAGCAGGGTGACGATGGGAGAAACATTGGAGGTTTGGGGTAAAACTTTTAAGAATTTTACCTATGAAGACCTGGAGCTTCCTTCTTTCTTTCTCAAGATTAGTGGTTCTTCAATTTTCCCTTCAATCTTTGTCTTTCCTATAAAACTCCATTATGCTGGTTAACCAAGCGGATCAGTTTCCGTTTCTTGCAACCAGGCTATAATAACTCTCAGATATTTGGTTACATTTGAAAAATCAAGATACAGAATAGGGTGTAAGAGAGTGGCTCCTGCTTGTTTTGTGGTTTTTGTTTTTTGGCTATAGATGTATTTATATGTAACAATTTTGGAAGTATATACAAGAAAGTATTGATGGGGGTTATTTTTGGGAAATGGGAGTGGGGCCTGAAATAGAAAGACTTACATTTTGTGCTATGTTTTTCATTTATCCTATGCGTATTTGTTTAAGAGAAAAATGGGACGCCTGGGCGGCTCAGTTGGTTAAGCCTCTGCCTTCAACTAAGATCATGATCTCAGGGTCCTGGGATGGAGCTCTGTACCTGGCTCCCTGCTCGGCGGGGAGCCTGCTTCTCCCTCTCCGTTTGCTTGTGCTTTCCTGCTCTCTCTCTCAAATAAGAAAATAAAAAAAAAGAAAGAAAAAACTGTCTAGGTAATTACGTTTTTGTGATTTACCTGTTTGATTTTTTTTTTTTAATTTGCCTGTTTTAGAAACCTCTTGACTATTTTTTAAAGACTCCGTTTAGGACATTTTGTGGCTCTCTGGCTTGGCTCCAGGGTTCCTTTCCTAGCATATTCCACAACAGGTTACTTCTGTATTGTCTGCACTTTGGGATTATTTGGAATTGTTTAGGAGATACTGGAGCAGTGCCTTCTCAGGCAAAACCGCCACACCCACTGCACCCAAAAGGGGCTCCATCTGCAATTTCCAACATCGTCCCCAAACCTCTTTCTTGGATAATGAACCTTCTTGAAGTTGACTTTGTTTTGTTTCAAGTTTTCCTTGTTGCTTCCTCAGAGAGTGACATGGGGTTACCAGGAATCAGGTGGGAAAGAGATTAGTGTGAGAGCAGCCAGATGAGCCTAGAGCTGGGGAGGACATGACTCAACATCATGCTGATGAAAGACAAGCATGAGGGGGCTGAAGTGTGAAGGAAAAAGGAGAGAGCCTGTGAAGGGCAGCATGCTTCTGAGGGGCCAGGCCAGACCCAGGAAAGCTAGAGTAGGAAGCAGACAACATGCAGGAGGTATGACCAAGAGCAAAACGGAAAAACTCAAACCTCCCCCGAATTATTTCAGGAATAATGGCGCTTAGCTTCTCCCACCTTTCCCACTTCTTCAGTAACCTCATTTTACACCTTAAGGAGTGCAGGGTCAGGACAAATCTTCCTAGTTTATAGGCAAGGGAGTAGAGGCTGAGAGAAACTTAACACTAAGATCTCTAATTATGTGTTAGACAAGGTCCTAGAACCCATTTCTAGGTTCAGCTGCCAAAGGTTCTTTCTGCCCTTTGCACTGTTTCTTACCCTGTTGCACTGCTTTCCTGGGTCTTCACAGAAGTGGTTTTTTTCCTGAGGATCTTCTTGCCTTTGCAAGCGTGTTCAAAGGCCAGGCTCCAGCACATGCCCATCGGAAATGCAGATTAGAGGGGCACCTGGCTGGCTCAGTGGGTTAAAGCCTCTGCCTTGGGCTCAGTCATGATCCCAGGGTCCTGGGATCGAGCTCCGCATCAGGATCTCTGCTCGGTGGGGAGACTGCTTCCCTTCCTCTCTCTCTGCCTGCCTCTCCACCTACTTGTAATCTCTGTCTGCCAAATAAATAAATAAAAATCTTAAAAAAAAAAAAGGAAATGTAGATTAGGGCTTGAAGGCCTTTTAAGGGCAGCAACATAGACACAGGCTACCCATATTACAGAAACCACTTAAGACTACAAACGTGCTCCTACCATTTGTGTAAACCAGATTTCCCCACATATTTAACCCTATATTTACAAAATGCCTTTACCTTTATTCCTGCACCAAGTATCAGACATTTTTCTCAAATGTAACTCAGGATATACCGAGAAGGACGTTGGAATATAGGCAGCAACTCTACTGAAGTGGTCGGCTGGGAAGAATTTTAGCCTTAGTTTCTTGTCTCCTGAACTCCACTCAATTTCCAAATATAATGCAATTATTTGTGTGCTTTTTTCCTCTCTAGACTGTGAGCTCCTTGAAAGTAGGTGTCAGACCTGAATTATTCATGTATCCCCAGTACCTGGCACAATGCCTGTCAACTGCTCAAGCTCTGTACAGCGGCTGCTGCTGGATACCCAGGAGCCCTCACTCTGTCTCGGAGAACAGCCACAATGGTGAAGCGGAGTCAGAGCCTGAGGCTAGCCCCTGGAGGTCAGCACTCCCGGAGTCTTGTCTGAGTGATGCTGTTTCAGCGCCCCCAGACTGTGGTTTCTTTCTCTTCTCTTTGCCCCCAAATAATCCACTGCCCTCCTTCCTGGGACACAGCCCCCCCACCCCCCAGGACTGAGGGGTTTAACCATCTGTAAAGGAGATGCCTGGTCTTTCTCTGGGCACGCCCCTGGGGAACAAAGGCTGATCTTAATCAAGCAGCCAGGCCATCCTGCCTGCTTCATTCATGAGGCACTCCCATTGCCAGTGGCCCGAAGGGGGTTAAGGAATGTCATGTTGGACACACATTTGTCATTTGTTCTTAGCAAGAGAATCTCGACACCAGGGCAACACTGCAAAAGACATTAAGGGATCCATCCACTGATGTAACTATTCTAGCAGTAAGGATTCTGACTGCTCTTAGTTCTAGGAGAGAACAACTTCCTGTTTATATATTGGTTACAGAATCTGGATTTCCTAACTGCTACTGCTTTACCAGTGTGTGTGTATGTGTGAAGGGGGCACAATTAAACCATAAGGAATGTTAAGTGTAAATCCTAGGCCCCAAAGAAAAACCTAAGGAGTCTTCTACATTTACCCCCAGAAATACATTTCACCCTATGGTAGATTCCCTAACAATTTGGGCAGAGTCCCCACTTGTGAGGGCAAGAACTCGGAAGGGGCTCAGGGGGCTGATTTTGCACACAAGGTTACAGAGGTATTTCTCAATGGATCCAATGTGTGAATCCAGACAGAAACATGTACATGACTAACCTTCCTCACTGACCAACCCTGTTGGATCTGAAACTGTTTGGAAAGGCTGATCAATTACACTCCTATCCCCTCACTAGTTAGGCTCCTGTTTGGGAACGATAAATCTATTTCAGTTGAACTCCCACTGAACACTTACCCTTTTCTTCTGGGGAAAGAGCCATTCCTATTTGCAAAATCAAGACAATCACAGTTGCACATTTTCCCAAATCTTTGGCTGTATTGCAATGGTTGTTTCATTTCGTAATCTCCAACTAAACATTTCCTAACCATGGATTAACAATATAGTTACTGACTGGTTTCTTTTAACAGTATTTATCCAACATAACAAAATAAACTGCAATTTGTTATACTTTTTTTTACAAAACATTTTATAAATATTTTTACAAAATGTATACAAAGCAATTTCAAGTGAGACATACTATACAAATGAAGGTATTTAAGCAAATAAAGCCCACACCACACTGACAGTGAGTGACGCGTCCTCTATAAGTCAAGTCAGTCTGTAAGGCCTCCCTAATCTAACAAAATCTACTAAATTCTTCAGAGCTAAAATAGTTCTTTTTCGTAATTGCCAGTTTAAAATTTGCTTTATCTTTAGGCAGTACTTAAGGACACAGAAAATCAAATGCTTAATAACAAATGCACACTTTTCCACAACAACAACAGAAAAAAGAACAAAAGAAAATGATTTTTGTTACTGAGTACAAGTAGTTCTAAAACTTAACCTTGACTAATGAACCTGAACAACTGAAAGTTGGCCGTCCGAGGCGGAGCTCCCTTACCCTTCGCCAGAGGGGGCTCGACATGCGAGTTATGACCCATGTGCGCATAACCTAATCACAGGAGTAAAATACATTTTCGTAATCTTCATTTGTCATTATCTAGAATCTTTCCTCCATAGAAAGTAAACTTACATACAAGGACACAAAAATTTACAAGTTTCATTTTGGTGAATTAGGCTCTCCGTTTGCTAGACAAGTGTTAGGGTTTGAAAGACCCTCTGAGATGGTATTTAGAAAGGCAGGGGTTGGGGTAGTAGGGGAGGATAGGGAAGAAGAGGAGGTGACAAATGTATATGAAGTTTATCTTTTCTCTTAAGAATTCCACTGATTGGCAGTAATTAATGTAACCCATTAGTTGCCTACGTGAAGGCTTCCAGGTAGAGAGTTCCACAATGAGAAGAATTTGATTAGGAAGGACCATCTTTAAGTCTTGCTAGGAATGAGGGGAACATGAGTCCTAAGAGAAGAAGAGCCTACGAAATCATGGGGTTCAGGGCAGAGTGTTATCCCAGGGCTGCCCAAACAGAAAGTTCCAACTGGCAATACCAACTTATCCTTCTAATATGTTACAATACAGGAAAAAGGGGAAATCTGCAACTTGGACATTGGCACAAATAAGGAAAAAATGGGAACCCTAAAATGGCCCAGATTTTCCAAGTTCTATTGGCTGGGGTGGGGGTGGGGGGACAAGGACAAGGTACTTTGCTTTTATGAAGACTGGCTGTCTGAGGGGGCTCCTTTGAGGGCAGTGCGGGGGACAGAGAGGGACAGGGAGAGTCTGGGTCTTCTGCTGCCATGTTTTCCAATAATCAGAAGCCTTCCTTTCCATCGCAGGCCAATCTGGAGAAGAAGCACCCAACATGATGACAATGGGGGTCATCCCCGTTCTGGCAACACCAGAAACAGATGCTGGCACCGTGTGAGAGTGGAGACCAACGGGTGCACCTCTAAAGCCAGAGAGATCAACAGAATAAATGAGAGAGTGCATGCACATGGGAGGAAGAGTGGGTGTGTCCACACTGTCACCAGAGTGAGCTCTGGATCTGAACAGCTCCGGTACTCGCACGCACGCGTGGGGGAGGGCGCGTATGAAATACCGTTATGTCGCCTTCCCAACGATGGGAGAGACCGGCTGGTTACAGTGACGCTGAGGATGAAGGGAACAGCAGAGATGGGATGACTGGGGACAAGAACACAAGGAAGGAAAACGGGAAAAGCTCCCTGAAAAGAAATATAAATAAAGCAGTAAGTCATGTTCACTAATATGAACACGGGCCGCACACAGACCATGACAGGGCATGTCCTTTGGCTCTCAAGTGGGAATCCCGTGTCTCAGATCTTTTCTTTCAGTGGGGGGGGCTGGCTGGTTACTTTGGTTTGTCTGTGTTTTGGTAATGATTGCTGCCGGGGGGCGGGGGGTGACTACTGTTCTCAGACAAGAAGCATAAACAAGGCCAAAGTCCCCCTAAAGTTTAAACTGAAAAATTACAACACAGTTTTCGAACGAAAGTGCTTTGGACGCTTGGCTATTGGTGGAAGAGGGGGGTGGAGAGGTTAAATGAAAGGAAACCCAGCAACAAACAAAAACATACAGCATATGTTGACTATATCCAATTAGAAAATGCAAAACGCTTTTTTTTTTTCTCAATAGTTCACATATATATGCTTTTACATATATACATATTATATTCCTCAAGGCTCTATCCCGGCCTCCCCTGTACACTGTGCCACTTAACTGGTTTCCGTTTTCCTTTATTTAGCCTGGTCAAATGATCTCAAGTCATGCTGTTGCAACTAAGAACAGAGCATTCCCTAGATGAAACTTAACACGCATCGGCTGAAAAGCATGAGGCTTTGCTCTGGGAGCTTCAGAAAAGCACTTGAATGATGAGCAAGGAAGCCCTGCATGTGCCCTGCTGGTGCGCTACTGGCTGCTTCTTGAGGGGGGTGGGGGGGTGCTGCGGCGTCCCCGGCAGAGCAGCCGGCAACTCACCGCTCAGGGATGGCTGAGGGGGCACGAGCCGGTGGTCCACCCTCCCGACGACGACGACAACAGACCCCAAACGGCAACATTTGGAGATGCGGTGGGATATTCTTTAAAAAGTAGCTTCTATCAGTCCTGTTTGATTTTCTTTAATAAGTCTGTTCGTTTCAAATGACTTATGATTGTCAGAATTTTACCCAGGGCCAAGTGTACTGTGATCTCAGCGAGTTAACGGTGTTTTGTTTCGTTTTAAATTAAAACACGTAAACAAACACAGAAATGACTATAAGCACTTTCGTAACACTTGAAATGTGTCGGGCCTATCAGACTGCTCTCTAACAAGGATTCGTTTCGCGAAGGGATCTCCCTGTAACCACGACGAGTATTGCTCTGAAACAAAGAATGGGATCAAGATCAGAAAGAACAACCTGTGATGAAAGATCAAGCAGGCTGGAGACAGGAGACCGCTTCCATTTGCTTTTGCCAGGAAAGAACGTGACTTGTCCGGGGCGGGGTCTCGGGGCGGGTAGGGAAGGGCTGTGGCTATTAACACTCCAGGATACTATTTACAGCTGCTTCTAAAATGGAGTCAGTTTCTACAATGCCTTCACTGTGGTCCGGGATGAACTTTTCCAGGCAGTTTTCCTGCGAAGCCATTGGAGAAAAGTTGGGGAAATCTAACTCAACCGAGCCGCTAACCGCGGGGTCACTCTGGGGCTGCCGCCCAGCCTTTTTGAGTTCCAAGATGTTCTTAAATGTTGTTTCTAAACTCTTAGTGAGCTGCAGATCTGGCTGGGGCTCACCCGACCCTTTCATGATGTCTGTGTGTAAAACTTCATTCTTTGGAGAATTCCTCAGAGTTTTGTCCTGGAAGGAATTGTTACACGTCATCTCCAAGTGAGAATCTGCTAGGATACTGGAGAGTTTGCTCTCAGTTCCATGATCCGCTCGGGATGAGGTTTTCCGGGGCCCTTCGGGGCCGGGAGAGCACTCGCTGGCCTTCAGGGATTCTCTCCGGCTGCCTTTCTCCTCCGACGCACTCCGGTACTGAGCTAAGCCCGCCTTATCAAATTTCAGTGCTCTGCCGAGGCATTCAGTTTTTTTAGAAATGTTTCCTTCTGCGGAGACCACAATGTGATTAGGCACTAGATGAAATTGGTCATGATTCGTTGGTTCTGCCAGGCCTGGTTTGGCTCGGTCTCGGCCCTGGGCCTTGGCCGTCAGGTGTAGAGAGCTGGCGGCTTTGCTGCCGTGCTGGTCACTCCGGCCAAACTGGGTCTCGGGAGCAGCTTTATCAAGTTTGAAGGAACAACAGAAATCAGCCTGAAAACCCTCTGGAAATGGGAACAAAAAGAACACTGAGTGAACTTGGCAGGAAGGACTCTACAACAGAGCCCCCAGTGGGTCAGGTGCAAACCCAGCCCAGCCCGGTGAGCCAGTCCCTTGTGTCCAGGAATGTGCAGGGGCACAACACTTGAAGGGGCTTCCTGGACAGTAGCCGGGGCTTCCAGACAAGAAGCTTAACCTCTTTGACCAGGAAGATGCTTGGTGACAAATGGGAAAACCAGATGGGCCAAAAGCTCAGCTTTGTCTTGATTTCTTAGTGTTCTCTCTCTTGTTTTTTTTTTTTTTAAGTTTATTTACTTATTTATTTAAATAATCACTACATCCCACCTGGGACTTGAACCTACAACCTTGCCATCAAGAGTCGCATGCTCTACGGATTGAGCCAGCCAGGTGGCCCTCTTAGTGTTACCTTTAGCTAGTTTTTTTTTTTTCTTTTCTTTAATTAATGGCTGCTCTGAAACAGTCTGAAAACAGAAATTCGATGCTAGTAGAGCTGGGTTTCTCCTTTGGAGCAGAGGGCCCTGGAATGAGGCTTTAGGTCAGGGGTGGGAGTGGACACAACTGCTTGTCTTTGAGTGATGGCACTTGGGTCCCTGCGGACACGTGTGAGAGGACCAGGCATTATAAAGCTGCACTTTGCCAGAAGCACAGAACAGACAGTCGACACACATCCAGAATGGTACGTGCTTGGAAGGTCAATGGCATGTGCAGTAACCGGGTCTATGAATGAGCCCTGCACTGTGCCAGGCTTGAGGTGCCCAGGATGGCGAGAGAAATGTTAGGATTGGGGAGGTTGAGGGCACAGAGGGAACCTGCTGTTACAGAAGGGCAGAAGAGGTGTAAGAGGGCTCTGATGACACCTGTAAAACCAAAATGTGAATTTCTTCACCAAATCACAAAATGTGAGATGTAGGGAACACGGCCTTGACACCTAAAAAGAAGACTCCATCCAACAAACACCGGCTGTGTGGACATAATACACAGGGGGATGAAGCCCATCCAGGTCCTCAGGATGCTGTGACAAAGCACGAGGGTTTATCTGTAAGTCCAATTCATTGTAAGGCAAGAGGAGCCTGCAGGTTCTAGGATAGAGGGACAGAAATATATCCTACATTGTTCCCTTTCTTTTTGGAAAGATCTGAGGATTCTCAGAGCTGCATGGCATTTCTTTCAGACCTTTCCTTTAGACTGAGTGTAAGGATCATTTCTTCTTTTTAGAGATTTCATGAGCCACACCAAACATAAGGCAGAATCTTGATATCTAAGAATCAAGTTACAGTAATGGAAATAAAGTCACTGAAAAATAATAGTCTAACAGTAGGGGGATGGTTTATTTTATTTATCTTTTTACAACATTAATTTATTTATTTGTCAGACAGGGGGAGACGGAGAGAGACCATGAGCAGGCAAAGGGAGAAACAGGCTCCCCGCTGAGCAAGGAGCCCGATGCCGGACTCAATCGTGACCTAAGCCAAAGGCAGACTCTAAATGACCCAGCCACCCACGCGTCCCCAGGGGAATGGTTTAGCTAAATTCTTAAATTAATGTATTAAAAACTGATTATTATTTTGAAGACTCTAGCAAGTGCTAAGAGCTTCAGATGTGTTAAATGGAAGAAAATTAGAATAACAAAATTATATCTAACGTATGATTATAACTATATGTAAAGGATGTATGCAAATGGGAACCAAAACTGGAAGAAAACTGGGAGAAATAAGAACTTTTTGTTTATAGGATGGTGCAAGTATGGGTAAAATTTGTACTCCATGAATTGTTATAATGTTATTTGATTTAAAAAATATTAAAGGCCAGTTTTTTCTGGAGGAGGAATTTTTTAAAAAAGTGTTTTTTGTTTTTAAATATTTATTTGTCAGAAAGAGAGAGAACACAAGCAGGGGGAATGGCAGGCAGAGGGAGAAGCAGGCTCCCTACTAAGCACGGAGCCCAGTGTGCAACTCAATCCCAGGACCCTGGGATCATGACCTGAGCTAAAGACAGACGCTTAACCAACTGAGCCACTCAGGCATCCCAAGGAAGATTTTTTTAGAAAAGATATTTATTTATTTATTTATTTATTTATTTATTTGAGAGAGAGAGAGAGAGAGAGAGAGCATGAGAGCGGAGAGGGTCAGAGGGAGAAGCAGACTGCCCGCTGAGCAGGGAGCCCCATGTGGGACTCGATCCCAAAACCCAGGGATCATGATCTGAGCGGAAAGCAGACGATTAACTGACTGAGCCACCCAAGTGTCCATATTTTTATTTTTTAGAAGATTTTATTTATTTATTTGAAAGAGAGAGCACAAGCCGGGGGAGGGACATTGGGAGAAGGAGGGAGAAGCAGACTCTGCTAAGCAGGGAGCTCTACATGGGGTTCAATCTGAGTCAACCAAGCCCCCCAGGAGGATCAGTTTTATTTTATTTTTATTTTTTAATTTTAATTTATTTTTAATTAAAAATTTTAGAAGATTTTATTTGAGAGAGAGAGAGAAAGAGAGAATCAGAGTGAGAGAGCATGAGAGGGGAGGTCAGAGGGAGGAGCAGACTCCCCATGCAGCTGGGAGCCTGATGTGCGACTCCATCCCAGGACTCCGGGATCATGACCTGAGCTGAAGGTAGTCGCTTAGCCATCTGAGCCATTCAGGGACCATTTATTTATTTATTTATTTAAGATTTTATTTATTTATTTGACAGACAGAGATCACAAGTAGGCAGAGAGGCAGGCAGAGAGAGAGAGAGAGAAGCAGGCTCCCTGCTGAAGCAGAGAGCCCGATGCGGAACTCGATCCCAGGACCCCAGGATCATGACCTGAGCCAAAGGCAGAGGCTTTAACCCACTGAGCCACCCAGGCGCCGCCCCCCCCTTAATTTATTTTTAAAATATTTATTTGAGAGAGAGAGAGGAAGAGAGTACACAGAGGGAGAGTGAGACAGAGAGAAGACTCCCCATTGAGCAGGAAGCCCGATGTGGGACTTGATCCGAGAACCCTGAGATCAGGACCCAAACTGAAGGCAGAGGCTCAACCAGGTGCCCTAAGGATTCATTTTTACAAGGCAGAACATGTTGGGGCATGCTGAGCATGGAGCCTGCTTAGGATTCTTTCTCCTCCACCCACTGCCTCACGCTTGCTCTCTCTCTTTCTCAAACAAAAAAGAAAAAAAAAAGCACAAAACAAACAAAAAGCCAGCCCATGCAAGAAGGACACTTAGACCCTCCTCTGTCCCCCTGAGAGCAGGAAATAAATCTCCCACATGAAAAGTGCCCTCCCTGTACCAGGAGATAGAGAGACATCCTTATTATCAGAAATAGGGAATTCAGGGCCCAGAAGGTGTAGAAACAGCCCATTTCACTTTTCACTAATTTACTACTCCAGCCCAAATTCTGTTTAAAATTCCTTACTAACTGAAGCTCCCAGAGTTATGTCTTCTTTATCCTGTCAATTCCTCACAGATTTATTGTCTGTTTGTCTAAAAAGTATACAAACTGCCTGCCTTGGTCTTTCTTTAGGGTTCAATTTCATTACTGGGTCTCTGTACCTGTGTAATAAAACTTTTTTTCTCTCCTGTTAATATGTTTCATGTAAATTTAATTCCTCCAACTAGAAAAACCTTGGCCAGAGGAGAATTTCTTCCTGCCCTTTGGTGCAATCAGTGGGAAACTGGCAGGGGGAGTGAAAGGTACTAAACAGAGCATCTTAATTGACGAGCTCGCAGGCAGGGCCCCTAACAAAGCCTTGCACAGAGTAAAACAACTAGATAATTTGCTGAGGCTTACATGCTTCTGGGAAGGCTTCTGATTTAATTTAATTCTCAAGAACTAGAGAAAGGGGGAGCCTGGGTGGCTCAGTGGGTTGAGCCTCTGTCTTGGGCTCAGGTCATGATCTCAGGGTCCTGGGATCGATGGCACTGGGCTCTCTGCTCAGCAGGGAGCCTGCTTCCCCTCTTTCTCTCCCTGCCTCTCTGCCTGCTTGTGGTCTTTGTCTATCAAATAAATAAATAAAATCTTAAAAAAAAAAAAAGAACTAGAGAAAGAACGACAAGTTTACGTTTATAATGGGGAAAAACAATCACACAATGAACGTGGAATCCCAGCGTGGATTTTCTAGACTACAGACCCTACAGAGTATTCACGCACTGCTCACTCTGGGTTGTTTCTCCCCAGAATGCGTTCTGTACCTTCAGGTTTCCCGCCCAGCGGCGGTTCAGACAGACTCCCCACGGGCCGGCGGCCTGGAACCCTGGCAGCACCTCCCCTCCATTTTTTCTGACATTTCTTACCAGGATCTACAAGTGCCAGACGCTTGTCTCGGGACAGAGAAGCTCTCTCCTCCTGGTTGAACATTCTGTCGATCATCACCATCTCAGCAGAGGGATTGATCCGCTGAAAACAAGACAATCTGGTCATTTCAGATGCCTTTTAATGAAGTGCACCCATCCCACTGCGTCTTTGAAACTAACGAAGCGAACAGACATGAAGATTTGGTGTCTAGGTTCTAGTCACGTCCCATTTAGCTCCATTTATCCTTGTCACGTAAGGATGCATTTTTTGAAATTGTAATTTTGGGGAAAAGGTGATTTACACTGATTTCTCGAGAGGATGTGAAAACTAGGCCTGCCTCCCTTGCTTCCCCCGCCTCTCTCTGCAGGTACCCACACCAAGCAGTTTAATAGGCTCTGAACAAAGTGGTTTGATGTGCACAAAGGCACTGACGTTCTTCTCTGTATCTGTATCTAATCTGACATATCTTATTTCCCCTCTGCTTAATAATATGTTAGAGATCTTTTCATGAGGATGACATTTTTCTTGATATTCTACTATGGCTTCAATGTGTTTTTTAGAAGGCTTTCCTTAAAATTATTTTTTGCTGTACGGAAATGAAGCTTAAATTATATTTGTGAGTCTTATTTAACACAAAAATTCATAGCAGATATAAGATAACTTGACCAAGTAAGTGGTCCTTTCCTAAAAAATGGTAAGAGTTAAGTCTTTTTAATATCTCAGCATTTTTTTTCCTGAAGTGGTTATCAATATAAGAACAACTATTTCAAAGTTTGGAGGCACAATTTAAAGTAAATATAAATTATATATATATATATATATATATATATATAACACACATACACACACATTTATACTGTATCATGTAAGTACATAATGTAATTCAACTAAGCTCCCAAGGTATATCTCAAAGCTGATCTTAAATTGGAAACTGCCTGTAAGAGGTCAGTTTATAGGTGTAAGCCTGTATGATTTCAGAATTGCTTCTAAAATCTCAGAATAGGGGGCACCTCTGTGACTCAGTGGGTTAAAGCCCCTGCCTTTGGCTCAGGTCATGATCCCAGGGTCCTGGGTCCGAGCCCTGCATCGGGCTCTCTGCTCAGTGGGGAGCCTGCTTTCTTTCCTCTCTCTGCCTGCCTCTCTGCCTACTTGTGATCGCTGTCTGTCAAATAAATAAAATCTTAAAAAAAAAAAAAATCTCAGAATAGGTTTGGTCTTTCAATCATTTCCTGAGGCATCTTCTTTCTCTAATTAACTGGTGCTTTAAAACTAAGTTTAGTTTCTCTTTGGGATGATGAAAACTTTCTGGAATTAGTGGCTGATGGCGGCAAAACCTTACGAACATACTAAAGACCATCAAGCTGCATATTTTTAGATCATGCATGAACCTTATGGTATGTTAATGATCACTCAGTTAAAAACAAGATAAAGCTAATTTCCAAATCTGTCATCACCTGGGCTTTTCAGATATTCCTCTGAACAATTTTCCCCACATCTCTGGGCTGGTGAGAGGGAGCTGACGGCATCAGAGTGTGCATGGGGGCTGGGGGCCTCAGATGGTCCTTGCCTGTCCCCTAGCTCTGCTAACTGCTCTGCAAACCCAGTAGCTGCAGGACGTTTGGCAAATTACTTAACCAAAGCCCTGGTTTGCTCATTTAGAACCAGGAGAACCACAGCAGTCATCAGGTGTGGGCAATCATGTCAAGTGCAGCGAATGCCAAGTTCGCTTGGCAGGAGGACCAGTCAGGTGGAAGGTTTTCTACAGTCTTCGGTATCTGTGCCTTTGAGATTATGCTGGGAGAATATAATTCCCTGAAGTTTTTTCCTCTCTGAATTACTAGCTGTGACCTGTGGGGTTTTAAAAAAACAAATACACTTGGTAGCATGAATTTTACCATGGCATCTTCTAGAAGCAGGCATCTGTATTTGTTAAGCATAGCTTGGGTCCTTTTTAGGAGCTGAGTGGCAACTGTTTCAAATTCATTGTCGACTTTAAAAAAAGAGAGAGAGAGAGAAAATGGTAAGAGAGTGCAATCACTCACTAGGTCTTTTCTTTCTCAGGACTGAAATGCATTACTCTTCCATTACTCAAACATGTCTTGCCTGTGACAGTCTTCTCTTCTTAGGTTAGCTTTCCTTGATTAAACGTGCTTCTGCACTTTCCCTCACTGTCCACTGTTAGGTGACTGGGGAACTCATTGCAATACTAGCTTATTTTAACTTTAATTAGGAGGCCAAAACCAGAATACTTCTAACATGACCTATAAAAGAAAACCATAAAGCACAGACATGCAATAAATATCAATGAATAGAGAAGATCTGTTAGTCTAGATGGGCAAACCTCCACTTCTTCCAGTGCTATAAGAAACAGGAACAGCTGAACAAGGAAATCCTAGAGTGGGCTGGGCAGACTGGTTTTATGTAAGGACATAAACTAGTTCATGATATCTTACAGGTCACAGTGCTGTGGCTCTGTCCTTTGCCTGCCAGTCTCCAAAGGTTTCCCATTTTTTAGTCACTCCGTGTCTTCACATCCCTGCGTCATGCTGGACCTGGACCCTATTCCCCAGACACAGGGGACTGACTGGGACTAATCTGCGCTCAGATCAGAGACCGCAGCCAGGTAAGCACAGCTGGTGGCCGCTGCGGGAGGGGTGAAAGCAGTGTGGGGCAGCATCTGCAGCTGGCCGTCCAAACAACGCTTTGGGTTCAGTGCCCCCCGAATTGGTCAATAAAATACTCTGACCTCTGGGTATCCCCTCACCGAATATTGAGAGGAGTAAGTCACAACCCTAAACAGGAACCACGGAAATGGAGTAAATTGGGAACAAGTTAGGTCTACAATGAAAGACACGAACATGACCACCATCTGGGAGCCACAGGGCTTTCGCTCTTCTGTGAGGCATCTGTACGATGGTGTCTGGTGTCACAGGGGTGCTCTGGGGTGACAGCCTGTTTACCTTTCTTCAAGTCTTCCTCCGTGGGCATGGAGCCCTGGCACACGTGGTAGGACAGGAGCCTCTGTACCGCATCTCTTAGCGATCGGAACTGACTTTTATCGGGTGTCACAGCGTGGGCTTGGTCCCTCTGTAACTGCTGGAGAATGCTTTAAAAGAGGAATTGCCAATGTCAGTGGAGAGCTGTGGCAGGAAATCTAATCGTGATGGTTATTTGCATGCAAAGAAAGTCAGACCTACGGAATGTTATTATTCGTAGGACGGTGGTTCCGTGTTTTCTTCAGTTTCATACTTTGTACACCATGGTGGGAGTACAGTTGGGTTGAACTGTCTCCACAGGGGACTCACACTATGACCTTGGCTTCAAAAACATGGTGTTCCCACCAACCCCTCATGTAGGGGTGCTCACATGGATCTTGATAATGCCTGACTGTTGGCCAGCTAAGTTTATGCTAATATTTCTGTTCCAAACATAGGAATTTATCAAACCATGCTTCTCCGCAGAGACCCTCTGGCCGATCAAAGGGTAATGTGGTATGCTAAAGACAGAGAACTACTCTCCTTCAGAACAAACGAGCAGACAGTAGACTCAAACTATAATTGGTACATAGCTGACCCTTTAACAACATGAGGGGGCTGGGGGCACTGACTCCCGGCATGGTCAGATATCAGTATATTACCTGACTTTTCCAGAAGTTTACTAAGAGTCTCCTGTTGACTGGAAGGCTTACTGATTACACAGATGACTAATATATATTTTGTACAGTACATTTATTATTCTTACAAAAAAAGAAGTTAAGGAAAACACTATTAAGAAACTCATAAGGACAGATAATACATTTACAGTGCTGTGCTGTATTTATCGGAGAACATCTGCAAATAAGCAGACCTGCAGAGTTCAAATCCATGTTGTTCAAGGGTCACTGTACTTATGGTCCTAATAGCAGCAAACTGTATCATTATTATTATCATATATATAATATATAATAATATTGTAATAAATATTATTATAGTTATTTTCAAAGTATATTTTAAAAAATATTACATATATTATTATAACCTGACTTCTGTTGTATAGTGATTAAACATTAGGAACCTAGAGAAATGAGTCATGAGTCATTTCCAAGGGTCACTCACAAAGCTCCTTTAGTTAGCTGTTTTGCAGCAGGCCGCTTTTGTCCTCCTGAGTGACCATCCACCTGAAGACAAAACACATCTCTTAGTACTCCCTTCTGTAGAAAAAATATACAGAATACCATTACACATAAAGGACATGACGTTGTGAATATTTTCTTTTCTTTTAAAAGATTTTATTTATTTATTTGACAGACAGAGATCACAAGTAGGCAGAGACACAGGCAGAGAGAGTGGGGGAGCAGGCTCCCTGCTGAGCAGGGAACCCGATGTGGGGCTTGATTCCAGGACACTGAGATCATGACCTGAGCCGAAGGCAGAGGCTTTAACCCACTGAGCCACCCAGGCGCCCCGTGAATATTTTCAACTCCATATCAAGAGCATAGTCTAAAAATGCAGAAGTGCCCTGCTAAAAAATAAAACAAGCAAAGCCATAGACCCATGTAGCAAAGTCACACCGTGTCAAGATCACGGGAGGCTGTGCAATCGGTTCCTTGGAAGGACGCAGCTTGTATTTAAAGCCTGAATCTCCAACTCTGTAAATGTATCATTAAACTTTTGGAGAAGTATATTTTGTGGGTGCCAACTCCATGAGCATCTGAAAATTCAGTCACTGTTGCAGTCTAGGTGTGTGATCTAGTAGGGCATCTCTTTCTTTCTTTTTTCCTTTAAGTAATCCCTACACCCAACACGGGGCTCAAACTCACAATCCTGAGATCAAGAGTCGCATGCTCCACTGACCGAGACAGCCAGGGGCCCACAGTAGCACTTGTTACATCAATGTTAAGGAAACAAATGTGACTTATGTCAGAACCTGAGAACTGAGCCGGATCCTTCATGGAGTCTTCTAGGCGGGCCCACACTATAACAAGTTTCATTAAACCATTAATTGGGGTTTGATGGAGAAGAATCTAAGGGCTCAGTAAACTGAAAACAAGATTTTTTTTCCTTTCTTTTTAGATCAGTTGTTGGGTTAAAACACTATAGGGACTGGCTATGTCATCACATTCCTGGTTGCTACAGCAGGAAAAAAACCTCTCCGTATATGGGCATCTGGGTGACTCAGTGGGTTGAGTGTCTGACTTCACCCCAGCCATGATCTTGGGGTCCTGGATGGAGCCCTGCATTGGGCTCCACGCTCAATGGGGAGTTGGGGTGTCTGGTTGTCCCTCTACCCTTCCCCCTGCCACCCCGCTGTACACTTGCTTTCTCTCTCTCTCAAATAAATAAAGTCTTAAAAAAAAAAATCTCTCAGATAACTAAGATGAACAGATCCAGGGATGCCTGGGTGGCTCAGTCAGTTAAGCAGCTGACTCTTGCTTTCCGCTCTTAGGTCATGTCAGGGTCTTGAGATCGAGCCCCACGCAGGGCTTGGTGCTCAGTGGGGAGTCTGCTTGAGATTCTTTTAATCTGCCACCCACCCCTCTGCTCACATGTGTGTGCTCTCTTGCCGTCTCTCAAATAAATTAAAAAAAAAAAAAAAAAAAAAGAGGAACAGATTCACTTTGGCTATGACAATGAGTGATCATTCAACAGTAAACAACATTTTTTCTTGAGTACCTACTATGTACTGGCTGCTAGTATATCGCTAATTCATGAGGAAATGACAGTATTGTAATTTGAGAAACAGAATAGGCACATTAATCCTGTAAACAGTAACATAACAGGGCCTGGCCTGCGGGGAAGGTCTTCAGTGAGCACACTTCTGTGCGCAGACGCAGGCAGGCAGCAACTACCAAGCTGAAGATGACAGGACTACATTTTCTCTCAGTCATGCTCAACATTAAGAAGTAGCTACGCAAACTGTCTTCTACCTGCACGGCTGGCTGGCTGGGAGATGATCCAACTACTTTTTCCTGCTGTGGCTGCGTGGTTCCTAAGGACCCCGGCATGACTTTGCTTCCAGAATCCTGCCCTAATAGAATGAACATAAGACAACAGAAGCAGTTAATCAAGCCTCTTATACAATGCACAGAGCCCAGCGTATGTGGATTACTGACCATTCTGAAAGGGATTTCTGTATTTCCTGCTCTGAGGAAGGAGAGCAGGAAGTACATTTATCTACAAAAGCTCTAGAGGCAGAGGTCAGGATTCGTAAAGCCTTTTTAGGTAGTAAATAGAAACAAATACATAAGTAAATGGTAATAAATAAAAGCTGTCAATGCAACAGTTTCAAATTATTCAAGGTCTGAGGACTAGGCCTCAAACCAGTAATCCGTCAGTAACATCAAACCCCCCAGACGCTCACAAGTTAATGAATGAGGGCCCAAACAGGGGGCTGGCTAGGGGCGTTCCTGCTTTTGTCCTTTCTAGTATTTAATGATCAGTGTAGACATTCGAAGCTTTAGAAGAAATGGAAGACATAGCGCACACTATTTTTAGTCTTGTGGGGGATGCCAAAAATAGATAAATAAAGTGACATGAGGATATTTACAAAGTCACCTGTGCCATATAGTACTAGATTTTACTGTTTCTGAGCAGCACATTTTTTCCCATATAATTTAGTGTGTCATAATTAATTAGAAGTGCTTTTTTTTCTTTCTTTCTTAGTAGTATATAAAATGAAGGTACAGACACAACATGGTCTGTTATTTGGGTGGAAAGGACACAGGAGACATGGTCAGAGTGGGGATGAGGTGGAATGGGAAAGGTTGCAGGCTGGATGAGGGATGGCAGAAGATGTCCTCTGGGTTTGGGGAGAGAGGGGACAGTGGAGGGGAGCTTAAGATAAAGGCTCCTGACCTGGCAGCGTGGTGTTCAGGAGGCCAGGGATCTGTGCCTGCCTCAGGCCATCCGTGGTCTTGGAAGCAGCAATGGGGGAAGTCTGATTCAAACCTTTTTTCTGAGCCTGGGAAAAATATGGCCAAGAGAAGAAGTTAATTTCACCACTAAAAGCCTTAACAGATTGCCCAAAACACCAACCAAGCCTGTTAATGCCTACCTGGCATCACCTTCAGGTTAGACTACAAAGCGAAACTAGAATTTTACTCTACTTTCCTATCACTGGGGGAGGATTGCAAAGAGCACCCTTTAAGAATCTGTGGGCGTGTTGAATTTTCTGGACGCCATTCACAGGGATGCTGAGTGGACACCAAGCTGCCTTCCTGCCCCGGAACTGCTGTGTTCGTGATGCCCAGATGCAAAGGCTGAGCCAGAAACAGTTTCTACCCCTAATAGTTTCTATCCCCAGAAATTTTCTATCACACCTGCGAGGATTATGACCCTATCAGATCCTATGTAGGGTCTACACAGACTCTGAGCACCTGGTCAGAGCCCAAGTGCCAACCCCAAAGCTACTGTCAGCACTCACTGTTTGCTGTGTAGATGATCTAAACCATGTGTCACCCCTGCCACCGGTATATCTCTCGCTCACGTCATGTCAACATCAGGTGTAACTAGGAAATGTAATGTCAACTGAATGTTAGCCTGAGGAAAATATTATTAGAAAAATTAATCTGATGTTTTAATGGGTGTGTGCATCTTTTTTATAAATAGAAAAGATGAACTGTATGATGTTTAAGGACTGGTAAATTCCTTTTAGCTCTAAAAAAATCTGTTATCCATTTATTTTTATTTATTTATTTTTTAAAGATTTTATTTATTTGACAGAGAGAGAGAAAGAGAACAAGCAGGGGGAGTGGCAGGCAGAGGTTGAAGCAGGCTGAGCAGGGAGCCTGATGTGGGGCTCGATCCCAGGACCCTGGGACTAAAAGGCAGATTCTTTTTAAAAAAATTTTTAATTTATTTTTATTTTTTATAGACATATATTTTTATCCCCAGGGGTACAGATCTGTGAATCGCCAGGTTTACACACTTCACAGCACTCACCATAGCACATACCCTCCCCGATGTCCATAACCCCACCCCCCTCCCCCTAACCCCCCCCACCAGCAACCCTCAGTTTGTTTTGTGAGATTAAGAGTCACTTACGGTTTGTCTCCCTCCCAATCCCATCTTGTTTCATTTATTCTTCTCCTATCCCCTTAACCCCCCATGTTGCATCTCCACTTCCTCATTAAAAGGCAGATTCTTAACCAACTGAGCCACCCAGCCGCCCCTGTTATCTATTTAAAGTAAGATGATAACAGACTGAGTAGCTCAGTCTGTTAAGCTCTGCCATCCATTTAGTCATGATCCCGGAGTCCTGTGTTGGGGGGGGAGGGGGGGAGTTCATGCTCAGTGGGGGGTCAGCTTCTCCCTCTCCCTCTGCCCCTCCCCAATGTACCTGCTCCCTCTTTCCAATAAATAAATAAATAAATAAGTCTTTAAAAAAAAAAAAAAGATGATAAAGGGCTTTTATTTATTTATTTTTTATTTTTTATTTATTTTTTTTTTAAAGATTTTATTTATTTATTTGTCAGAGAGAGAGAGAGAGAGAGAGCGCGAGAGTGAGCACAAGCAGATAGAGTGGCAGGCAGAGGCAGAGGGAGAAGCAGGCTCCCTGCTGAGCAAGGAGCCCGATGTGGGACTCGATCCCAGGACGCTGGGATCATGACCTGAGCCGAAGGCAGCGGCTTAACCCACTGAGCCACCCAGGCGTCCCTATTTATTTATTTTTTAAAGATGTATTCACTTGAGAGAGAGAGAGAGAGAGAGCATGAGAGGGGAGAGGGTCAGAGGGAGAAATAGACTCCTTGCTGAGCAGGGACCCCCTCCCCCCCAAAGCGGGACTTGATCCCGGGACTCCAGGACCATGACCTGAGCCTGAGGCAGTCACTTAACCAACTGAGCCACCCAGGTGCCCAATAAAGGGCTTTTAAATTTCTCTCAATTTTTAACCTTCTGTATCATTACCACTTCATAGTGCAGCAAATTTTCAGAGTTTCTTCTCTAGTTTTGTATTTTGTATACCATCAGCAGATTTAGAGTTTAGTCCAACCACCCCATGAAGGACCTAAACTATGACCTTGGCCTGATTAATACGTTTCCACCAACTACTCATGTGAGACAACACTTCAGGCAACACCTGACCATTGGCCAAGTAAGCTCATGTTAACATTTTTATTCTAAACAATTATTTGAAACAGTTAATTATTTGGTTCCCCTTTCTAGTATAAGACTGGAGAAGGAGGGGTGCCTGGGTGGCTCAGTGGTTTAAAGCCTCTGCCTTCAGCTCAGGTCATGATCTCAGGGTTCTGGGATCGAGCCCCACATAGGGCTCTCTGCTCAGCGGGGAGCCTGCTTCCCTTCCTCTCTCTCTGCCTGCCTTTCTGCCTACTTGTGATCTCTGTCTGTCAAATGAATAAATAAAATCTTTAGGGAAAAAAAACAAAACAAAACTGGAGAAGGATTTGACACTACCCAAGAAGGTCTGGAGGAGGTCATTACAAAGCTGGAAATGGTCACCTTGCTCATCCATTAGCAGGGAAGGTCAGACCTGCACTATTCTAGGCAGACAGGTAATACATACTTAGTAACTAAACCACAAGAGGAAAATTTTCCAATGTTCACAGAATTTCCACTAGAACATAACTCCACTCTCCTACTGTAGGAAGCTGTTCACGCAGAGAACACTGGGGTTGAGGAGAGGCCTGGGGCAAACAGTGAGCACTGGCCTTCCTTGTGAATATTTCCAGGGCATGAACACTAAGGGCCGTCTTGCATAAAAAACAAAACAGATAAAAGTTGGGAAAATGCGGTTTAATTAAGGGGCAAGGCTACACAACTCTGAACTAAGCAGATCCACAGACGAATAGCTGAACCAGAGTGAATCTGTTCAAATGACCGGAGTCCTTACAGCAGTGCTGTTAGTACTCAACAGTTCTGGCATTTTTTCCCCAACGTCCCTAGTTCATGTGAAACAGAAGAATATCATCCTTATTGCTTTAGAGCACACAATTTAAAAAAAAAGTGGCATTACCCAGCCTGATCTTCTACCTTATTTATCAGACATGACCTAAAATGATTCATAGCTACTAAACAGATGAATAAAACAAAATCCCTTTAGTTGTAAAACTGAAAGAAAAGCAAGGACGAGATCACTAAGAAAGCCAGGAGAAGGGCGGAGGTTGGGAAGGTATATGGAGGAGGCTGGTTTCCAGGACTACGGGCAATATTTTCTTACCTTTTTTTTTTTTTTTAAGACTTTATTTATTTGACAGAGATCACAAGTAGGCAGAGACGCAGGCAGAGAGAGAGAGAGGAGGAAGCAGGCTCCCTGCTAAGCAGAGAACCTGATGTAGGGCTCGATTCCAGGACCCTGGGATCATGACCTGAGCTGAAGGCAGAGGCTTTAACCCACTGAGCCACCCAGGTGCCCCCAATATTTTATTTCTTGAGTGTTCACATGGATGGGAATTTGATTTATATTCTTTTATAATTTTATAATTCTGGGGGCATCTGAGTGGCTCAGTTAAGCATCTGCCTTCAGCTCAGGTCATGATCTCTGGGTCCTGGGATCGAGCCCCACATCAGGCTCCCTGATCAGCAGGGAGCCTATTTCTTCCTCTCTCTCTGCCTCTCCCTCTGCATGTGCTCTCTCTCTCTCGGCCACTCGCTCTCAAAAAAATAATCAAAAATCTTAAAAATATATATATTGTTGGTTAACTGTATGCTGATGTTTTACGTATTTTTTCTAAATGTGTTCTCTTTCACAACACAGACAAGTAAAAGAGGAAAAAAAAACCTAGAACAATCTCATGTCAAAGCCTGAAAATTCACTGTCAAATGGAGGATATGAAGCACTGTTGTGTCTAAAAACAAGGACACTCTCTGAAGGGGCCACCTCTCGTCTGAGCACAGCTGGGAGTGTTTTATGGTCCCCTCGCCCACCTGTGTGAGGCTAAGCACTGGCATCAGCGTGTTTTCATCCTCTCACCACCTGTGTTCCTCACTATACCCCTTCCCTTGGGGCAACTGCAGAGGGAGGGGCGGGTAGGGCTGGGGGATGGTAGAAGGATCAGGATTGGGGGGTACCTGTCCAGGTCCCCGCAGAGGAATCACTTCGATTCAGCTGCTCTGTATGTTTGGAAAGCCCAACTGCCTTGGGACTGCTGTCTCTAGCTGTACACTGTTGCTCCCAGCCTACTTATTCTCAGGGCAGGGCTTTGTTCCGTCTGGTTCCCTGCTGTATTCCCAGCACCGGACAGGGCCGGCACCACAGTGAGCGCACAGTAAATAGTTGTGAAATAAACTGAGTGCAGTGGAAGTCACGGGGGTCTGTCCTTCCCCGCTGGTCCAATGACCCCCACACCCCAGGAGCCAGCAACTTTCCCCCATTCCCCAAAACTTCATGTTGCCTGCAGTTGACAATCTTTTCCAGAAATTTATCATTCTATTGTTTTTGCTTAACTCCTAGAGAAGACCTGATCTTTAAATACATTTTCTTAAAAAAAAATGTATACATACATACATACATACGTGTGTGTGTGTGTGTGTGTGTGTGTGTGTGTGTGTGTGTATACAAACATATATATTTATTTAAGGGCGCCTGGAAGCTCAGTTGGTTAAGAGTCTGCCTTTGGCTCAGGTCATGGTCCCAGGGCCCTGGGATCAAGTTCCATATTGGGTTCCCTGCTCAGCAGGTAGCCTCTCCCTCTGCCTGCCACTCCCCTCTGCTTGTGCTCTCTGTCAAATAAATAAATAAAATCTCTCTCTCTCTCTCTCTCTCTCTCTCTCTTTCTATATATATATATATTTGTTTATTTATTTCACAAATAGACTATTTAAGGATCCTTTTTGAGACCTTGGCTCTAAGAACTCTGCTAATATTAGTATTCATCTTAATTCTTTAGATCTATGGATTATCTTGATACCATGTAAACATACAGAAAACCCTTAACAAATCAAAATATTTAATGTGTCAATCTCCCCTTCTGTGGTACACTTTGAAAGAAACCAATTCCGGGG